TCTCCGAAAGGGAAGAGAGGGGTTGGAAGAGGGCACTCCCTAAACCACTCACGCACAGATGGCTGGTGGGATTCGCCACGAGCTGTGTACGTGGGCGTTGGGAATCGGGACCCCCATGAGAAGGAGGAAGGAGGGTTATGGGGAGAAGGAGGGGCAGAAGGAAGGGGCATGGGAAAGTGTGCTGCGGCCAGCTGCGAAACGCGCGCGGCGTCTGGGACTTGAGACCTGATGGTCGAAACGCCGCGGGGCTTCCATTAGGAGTGAGCAGCGCTCAAGCGCAGTCCTTTTTTGCGCGGGGGAAGCGCCATTCCTTCACACCCTCCAGCTGTCGGTGTAGGGCATGTGTTTCCTCCCTTTCACAGGATGGGGGGAGGGGGACATCGGGCGCCAGGGGCTGTCTCTGATGGTCGACCCCCCCTTGCCGTTGAGAGAGAGAGAGAGAGAGAGAGAGTGTGCCCCGCCCAGCTTTCCATCCCGCTGCGGGAGATGACGGACATGTGCGGGCCTGGGATATACCAGACCTGGTTCACGTTGGAGGCTACCAGCCCGCCCGAGGGTGACATGAGCGTTGTCGGGATTCAGCTCAGGACAGACGAAACGACGCGTGTATGTTCCCATACCTGGTGGCCTTCGGCTCATCCCGCCACCGTGCCTGGTTGTGGGTCAGCGACCTGTTGGATGCCTGTCGGGCGCTCTTGGGGTGCATCTCGCGGGTGTCGTGGATGCCTCCTGCGGGGGCTCCTGGGGGCCTCTTATGGACCTCTTGGGGACCCCCTCGGGGCCTCTTGGGCACTTTTCGGAGGCTCTTGTGGGCATATTGGAGATCTTGGGGACACTATTTTGGGAAACTGCTCCCAGCGCCCCCTTGCTTTCCCCCTCTTTGGGCCATGTTGGAGGCCTCCTGAGCCGTCTTGGGGCCCTCTTGGGCTGTCGTGAGGCTCCCGCTGGGGAGTCTCCTTAGCCCTCGTGGGGCGACCTTTGGCTTGGGACGTCTTGGAACGTTGGCAGCCCCACATGGCGAACACGCTATAATCCTTCAAGCACGTCAGGAATCTGCATACATATAGACCTGTGCATATGTATGGACGTGCTTGCACATGAATTTAAATCCTCGAATGCTGGGAGTGAGGCCGCTCAGACGTTGTATGCCACTGTCTGCCTCGCAACAGCTGTCCATAGCAATCGCTGGGTTCGAGCTAGCTCGGTTTCTAGCTTGCCTCGCGGGTGTTGGATGGTCGACGCCCTCGTGGCCCTGGGTCTCCGAGCGGCGGAGCGGCTGCTGGTGGGACCTGCCCTGCTCCTCTACAGCTCGGGGTGCCCCGAGGCGCCGGCGTGCCCTCTGTGTCTAGAGTGCCCGCAGTTTCCACAGATCCCCCTTTGCCCGGGAGCACCTCCGCTACCAGAGCGAGGCACCGACGTGCTGGAGGTGACGGTCACTCCGTGGCCGCAGCTGTACGCCGTGGCGGTCGCCAGTTCCCTCATCACGCTCGTCGTCAGCCGCTGGGTGAGCAGCCTCACTCGCGATGCCGCCTCCGGTCGCCAGGCCAGAGATGAGGTGGGCGTTCGTGTGGTTCGCGACGGCGGAGGCCTTTTGGCACCAAAGATACGTCGTGGGAGCGGTGGGGTTGTCGGAGACTGACTACTTCATCACTTCGCCCGACGAGGACACGTACGAGGATTCGTATGCCTTGGCTAATCCCGACATCGTCGGGGTGAAATGGTCCTCCTCGCGGTGGCCACCGCCGCCAGGCGTGCCGCGAGGTATGGTCTACCGCTTCAGGGCCGACCCGACCGCCGCGCAGTTCGCGGCTTGGGAGAGGGCTGCCGATGCGCGGGCTCACGCGCTGGGGACCACGGTCGGTGACGTGCCGACGGAGGGAGGATGCTGGCGCGGGGGCACCTGCTGGCGCGGGGGCACCTGCGGGCGCGGGGGCACCTGGCCCGCCTGTTGTCGCGGCACCCCCTGTATACATGGCTGGTAAGGTCCTGGGTGGCCGTGGTGAGTCGCCATGGGGTACCTCGCGGGTCGATCGTGACTCTCGCTCCCCGGGCCGACGTGGTGAAGGACAGGGCGCTGCAGGAGCACGCTGGAGAGCCGATGCTGCTGGCGATGATCTCGGCTGGATCGGAGATCGAGTCTGTTTGCTGGCTCAGAGGCAGCGGCGGGTGCCCGCGCCTTCTGCCCCTGCGAGGGTCCATGATGAGCCGCGCCAGGTGGCTTTTCAGGGAGGCCGTGGAGAACTTGGAGGAGATCACGCTCGGGGACTCCCCAGTCCCTGGGCCGAGGTCGGCTTCCTCAACAGGCGCGGCGAAGGCGCAGTGGACCACCGCAAGTGGTGGATGTCCGCGTATCGGCTACAGTCAGACTGGTGGGGTGTGGCGGAGCACGGGCTGATCCTCCAGGCTCTCGAGATCGGTCTGTGCTACGGCATCCTCGACGTGCTGAACCTCGGCGTCGTGGAGCTGCTGATGCGCCGAACGCAGCTCGTCGAGCATTGCTACTCTGAGATGGGCCCTGGCGGGTCAGGCAGTTCATTGGCCGTCATGACCGATGGCGAGGGTGGTGGAGACAAAGACAAGAGCAAGGAGGGCGGTGGCCGAGGCAAAAGGCCACTCAACCTCCGCGCTCCTGTGCGCAGGGATGTACGACGAGGGCGCCATCTTCCTGGGCGCCCACATGGAGTTCGGGTCGGTCATGGTGGCGCCCGAGCTTCTGGACTACGTTGCGAAGGAGGTGGAGCGGGATGCGTCCGTCCTCGAGGCGATGCGCAAGGCCCGTGAGGAGCGGGCCGCGGCCTCCAAGTAGCCCTACGAGTGCGCTGGCCCCTCGTCCTTGTCAGGAGAAGGGGCCGCCTGGGGGGTCTCCAGGCCCCCCAGCATGCCCGAACTCAGACCTCGTGATGGACGTCGGGACCTCTTGCCGCTCCTTGCCGTGACGGGGATCAACGGTGAGATGGGCTGTCAGGACTGAAGCCGCCTGTCGCGGAGTTGCCGGAGGCGCTGTCATCGTCGAGCTCATTCTGCCCAGTGGTCTCATGGCAGTGTGGCTGCTTTGAATGAGATGGCGTTGGGGCCGAGAGGGTCTTCGTTTCCTCCGTCTTCGCCGTCTCCCACGCAGGGTCAGCAGCAGTGTCGGAATTATATTCTGCAGTGCGCCAAGGCGGTTGGCGATCCACCTGCTGACTTGGACGGCCCGGGTGCCCTTCGGGAGCTCTGAGCCCGCCGCGGCTACGACGGAGAGTCCAGCGCCGCGGCTCCCTTCGACGTTGGCCAGTTCGCCTTGCCGGAGAAAGGGCGCCAACCAGCGTCTTTATCTTCTCTGCGCGGGGCGGCTGGCGTTGAGCTTGCGAAGGGGTTCGCCAAGGGAGTTTTGCCAAAGGAGGAGGCTGAGTGTCGGAAGTTTGCGACGGGAGTGGGGCTTCGCTTCAATGGCCCTCGGCTTCGAAGTCGGCGAGTGTATCGCGACTTGATTCAGAAGCTGCATGACTCTGGCATGCTTGGGTTCGGGCGCTCGTGCCATGGACGGGTTGGGCTTTTCTCACTTGTCAAGAAGGATGGGAGACAGCGTTTGATAGTGGATGCCCGTTGGTCGAACTGCCATTTTGCCGATGTTGCTGATTTCAGTCTCGCTACCGGTTTGTCTTGTTCTGCAATACGGGTAGGCTAGGGTGACCCCATATATCTTGGAGAGGTTGACATCACTAATGCATTCTACGTTTTGCAGCTTCCAGAAAGAGTGCGCAAGTTTTTCTGTTTGAATTCGATGCGAGCTGGCGATCCGGGACTGACTGGCGGCTGAGGGGGCTGTCCAGCCTTATGACCTGGTTGTGCCTTTCCTGCGCATTTTTTTTCCATGGGCTGGCTCCACGCGGTGGAGCTGTGCCAGAGTATCCATGGGTATTTGGTGGAGACGCGCCCCGGCCTGGATGACAGGAGTCGCATCGAGGATGGGCGACCTGTCCCTCGGTTGGATCCTCCGGCGCACGCAGAGTACGCGGGCAACTTCGCGAGTTACTCCCAGGGCGAGGCGGCGTCCATGGAGGCGGCTGAGGATGCCGACCAGGTCTTTAAGCAAATGGGACTACCCGCCCGCGGTGCCTCTGGCCAGGCAGGCGGTGGCTCCCTCGGTTGGAGGTTCGAGTCGACCTCGGCGGCGGTGGCTATCAACCCCAGGTGGCTCTGGAGGATGCGTCTCGGGATCGGTGGGCTGCTTCGTCGTGGGCGTTGCTCGGGCAGGCAACGGGGGGGCCTCATCTACCGTCTGACTTTTTGTGCTTTGCTGAGGCGTGAGTGCCTGACAACCTTCAGTGCAGTCTACCTCTTCTCCGCCAAGTTTAGGGGGAGTGACGCTGAGTTGTGGCCCGCAGTTCGACGTGGGCTTCGCAGGGGGGGAGCTCTACATCCGCTTCTCCGACGCGATCTGGCGGCCGCGTGGTCTACGCAGGTCGCCGCCTCCGATGCGTCGCTCTGGGGGCGAGGGGTCGCTTTTGCGACAATTGAGGAGGAGATGGTCAGCGCCGTGGGTCAGCGCAGCGAGCGTTGGCGCTTCTCGCGGAGTTCTGAGCAGGGGGCCCACGCACGAGTCGAAGCTGCGATGGCAGGCCACCGTCTCATGGGTCAGGACAAGGATGCTTTGTCTCCTGAGGTCAGCGCGGGGTGTCCGTGGGTATCCCCGAAGTGCCGGTTGAGGTGATCGGTCGCCGCTGGACCGCTGTCTCCGCCGACTGGTGGGTACAGGCTGAGCGCGTGCCCTTGCTAGAGGCGCGGGCTCTGTTGTGGGGCCTCGAGCGCCAGCTGCATGATTCAAACAACCGCCAGAAGAAACTGCGGTTCCTCGCTGGCGATGTCCGTCGTCCTGATGATGGCCCAGGGGAGGTCTTCAGTTCCTGGGGTGAATCGTATATGTCGTCAGTGGGGAGCTTGGTGTCAATGCTCGGGGGTATCGCCACATGTTCGATGGGTCTGCAGCGAGTCGAATCCAGCTGATGGGCCATCTAAGAGGTTTGCTCCGCCGCCGCGTCCTCTCGAGCGGGCCTTCGGAGCGGTCGTGGAGCCCCCCTCGCGCTCGCCCTCTCCCGGGGCAGATGCTGCGGCGCCCTCGGCCCGAGGTGCCGCGCCGCGGGGTGGCGTGCGGGCCGCTGGCGAGGCCCGGCTCGGCGGTCTCGGGGGGCCTGAAGCGGGGCCGCGTTGGCGGGCTAGCCGCGGAGACGAGGAACGCCAGAGCTCAGCAGCGACCTCGCTTCCGCAGCGAGGCGGCTACCTACGGGCAGTCGCAGTCGAGTCTGACCTACCTCGAGGCCCGTTCGGCCTCGCGACCTATGGGGGACACGCGCAACAAGCTGATGGGCGATTTCTTGCAGTGGGCGACGGGCCCTGAACGCCGTGCCCGAACGGGGCTGGGCCCTGGCGAGCTACGGCGCCGAGCTGTATTTCTAGGGGGCCACGGCGGCGGACTTCAGCAAGGCGCGGGCCGCGGCGGCGTCCTCGTGGACCGACGTCTCCACGGGCGGGGTCGAGCTGAAGAGGGCCCGTCGGGC